ACAGACAGATAGATAGGTGATAGATAGATAGATAGATAGATAGATAGATAGATGGTAGGTAGATAGATGGTAGATAGATAGATAGATGGTAGATAGATAGATAGATAGATAGGTAGATAGATGGTAGATAGATAGATAGGTAGATGGTAGATAGATAGATGGATAGATGGTAGATAGATGGATAGATGATAGATGGATAGAGATAGATAGATAGAGATAGATAGGTAGATAGATAGATGGTAGATAGATAGATAGATAGATAGATAGACAGACAGACAGATGATAGATAGATGATAGATAGAGATAGATAGATAGATAGAGACAGACAGACAGACAGACAGATAGATAGACAGACAGATAGATGATAGATACAGACAGACAGACAGACAGACAGACAGATAGATAGATAGATAGATAGATAGTCAGATAGATATCTACCATCTATCTATCTATCTATCAAAAGTCAGAATCCAGCTTTGTTACTGTAGTATGTATAACTCTCTACCTATATACACATACATCTGCAGGCCAAGACAGAAAATATGCAGTATTATACAGCTCATTCTTTATTGATAAGAACAGTCAGAGCTCAGATGAATCAGTGAATTTGACAAGAACTCTTTAGTCAACATTCCATACAAAACTATTTTCTAAATCCACAAACAAGAGTTTTAGTTGCATGGAGTTGAATCACAACAAGGTAAATATATTGCATTTCTGGAAGACATCTGATCTTAGATCAGGCACGGAGACAAAAGTAAGGCACGTTACAGCGTCACTGTCCCGTAACCGAACATCTAAACAGACAGAAGCTTCTGCTCAGAAACAGCTCCGTCACGCCATAATGTGTGGAAGCCACTGTATGATCGTATGATTCTGGAGTCATTTTATAAGAACAATCATCATGTTTTTACTCTACATTTGTGGACGGACACTTTTGTTCCAGACTTTGGGACGGTGTGAATTAGGTGAATTTGACTTGATTTGTTCACAGTGAGTCTCCTCAACATGTGTGTGTGTGTTCTTCTCAGTTTGTGTTTTCCAGGACGATGGCGATGCCCTGACCTCCACCGATGCAGGCAGAGCCGACTGCGTACTTTCCACCGCGTCTCCTGCGAACAGAGAACGGAATGACGTCATGCAATGTAAATACAGCAGTGTATGATTGGGATTACGCATCCTAAAAATAAGACAACATAACACATAGGGCTGCCCTCTAATAGTTGACCATACGTTACATTTACATTACATTTTGTCATTTAGCAGATGCTTTTATCCAAAGCGACTTAC